AACCGCAACCGCAACCGCAACCGGGCGACACATTTCAAAGCGCCCGCGGGAGCGCGCAACCGCAACCGCAACCCGGCGACGCATTTCAAAGCGCCCGCGGGAGCGCGAAACCGCAACCGCAACCCGGCGACACATTTCAAAGCGCCCGCGGGAGCGCGCAACCGCAACCGCAACCGGGCGACACATTTCAAAGCGCCCGCGGGAGCGCGCAACCGCAACCGCAACCGCAACCGGGCGACACATTTCAAAGCCCCCGGCGTGCGCAATCGCAACCGCAACCGGGCGACACATTTCAAAGCGCCAGCGGGAGCGCGCAACCGCAACCGCAACCGCAACCGGGCGACACATTTCAAAGCGCCCGCGGGCGCGCAACCGCAACCGCAACCGGGCGACACATTTCAAAGCGCCCGCGGGAGCGCGCAACCGCAACCGCAACCGCAACCGGGCGACACATTTCAAAGTGCCCGCGGGCGCGCAACCGCAACCGCAACCGGGCGACACATTTCAAAGCGCCCGCGGGAGCGCGCAACCGCAACCGCAACCGCAACCGGGCGCTACATGTCAAAGCGCCCGCGGGAGCGCGCAACCGCAACCGCAACCGGGCGACACATTTCAAAGCGCCCGCGGGCGCGCAACCGCAACCGCAACCGCAACAGGGCGAACACATTTCAAAGCGCCCGCGGGCGCGCAAACCGCAACCCAACCCAGGCGCGCATTTCAAAGCGCCCGCGGGAGCGCGCAACCGCAACCGCAAAGGCGCAACCGTGGGCGACACATTTCAAAGTGCCCGCGGGCCGCGCAAACCGCAACCAAACAAACCGCAACCAGGCGAACACATGTCAAAGCGCCCGCGGAGAGCGGCCGCAACCCGCACGCAACCGCAACAGGGCGACACATTTCAAAAGCGCCCGCGGGGGCGGCGCACAACCGCAACCCAACCGGGCGACACATTTCAAAGTGCCCGCGGGAGCGCACAACCGCAACCGCAACCGCAACGGGGCGACACATTTCAAAGCG